GCCGCCCGGGCGCTGTTTACTAGCGAGGCCTGGACGTGACTCTGCAGCCCTCTTGGAGTAGGCGGACCTCGGCGCGCCGCCTCGCGGGAGCTGTAGTTCCCCGCGACCCTCCGTGCGGCATTGTGGGAGTTGTAGGCGCGCCCGGGCCACGCTTTCCCCCGCACAAAGCTCAGCCTCTGCTGGCGGGATGGGCGAGGCAGGCCAGGTGGGGGAGCGTTTGGGATAGTGGGTCCCAGAAGCCGCGCCGAGTCTCAGCAGACCCTGCACGTAGGTCTCTACCGCAGACTTTCCCTCCCATCGCACGTTCTTCCCCGAGCCGTAAACCGAAAGCGGCAGGTCTCCCCGCGGGGTGAGCGGGTGGGTGGTCCGAGGTCCGCGGCTCTCCGCTACTTTGCAAATTGGACCCGGGTTGTTAGAAGAAGCCACTTTACTAGTTTGACCCGGTTGCTCCAGATCCACCTTTTACAAAGGGTGATGCCTTCACGGGCCACTCCCACCAGAATCACCCTGGGCACTTGTTAAAATGCCGATGTCCGCAACTCCGATAGCTAGAAGGGAGGGCCTGGCCATCTGTATCCTGAACACCACCCGGGGGACGGCAGAGCTTCGTGGGGGGTTCCCCCGCGTGCCCAAGTTCGGGATTTGCAGTCTCTTTCCTGAGGCACTGCTCTAGGAGGGAAATGGCTCCCTAGGGTTGAGGCCACGTGCTCTGCTGCCAGGGAAGGCAAGGCGTGGATATTGAGGGAGGTGGAGCCCCAGATGGTGTGGCCCAGGCTGGTGAATACCAGGCGCTGCGGGTTGGGGGGAAGGTTGCTGCACATGTACTACCACCCCCACACCCCTCAACTTTCCTCTCACCTGGACTCTCAATACAGGCAGGCTGGGCCAGTTGGTGGGTTGCAGCTAGCAGGGCCCCCCTGAGTGTTGGCTGCCTGGGGGTCCCAGCTGTAAAACATTAAAAAAAATATATGCTGGAGCTCTTAATATAGGTCTATAGGACTTGTTTAGCTAGATTTTCTTAATTGAGTTGTCAGTCTCCTGAGTTAAGTAGCCTTAGGGTACCTGTGTGGTATGAGGACGCAGGCTTGGAAAGGGAACAGTTACAGCAAGTGGTGGGGCTGGGACTTTAACCCTGATCCTAGGGCCCTGCTCTTAGTCTCTGTTCTTAGCCCCTCCTGAAAAAACGCTGCGGGTAGCTGAGAGGAGGGCTGGGCAGTGGGGGGAAGGGTTGAGCTGCTCCAGATGCTAGAGAGGACATTGCCAGTCCTGACCCTGGGCAGGCTTGGCGCAGCGGATCCTGCTTCACACTGTCCCTAGCCCCCCTTTAGAGGAGTCCATTTGTCCCCCAGGGGCCAAGTGCTTAAGGTGGCAGGACTCCCCTACAGGGCTGGGCATCGGGGCATCCTCAGCCTGCCTCGCTGGGAGACACTTGTCAGCCTGCCCACTGGGTGTGGAGTTGGGGCCTCTAGGTTTGTTCATTTTTACTTATTTATTATTTGTTTATTTTTACCAATTTAGCACTTTATTTATTTATTTTTAACCCTTACCCGAGGATATTTTTCCATTGATTTTTTGGAGAGTGCAAGAGAGAGGGAAAAACAGAGAGAAATATTGATGTGAGAGAAACACATCGATTGGTTGCCTCCTGCACGAGACTCGACCAGGGCTTGGGCCGTGGAGAAGCCTGCAACTGAAGTACATGCCCTTGATTGGAATTGAAACTGGGACCCTTCAGTCTGCAGGCCAGTGCTCTATCCACTGATCCAAACTGGCTAGGTGGTTTGTCCATTTTTAGAAGGGATTGTGGGGTGAGGTCGGAGACCTGTAGGAGATCGAGGTTGTGGGTCGGACAGGATCTTCTGGCCAGATGGACTCACTTTTCAGACTGGCAGACTTCGTTCCATTCTTTGGACTAGGAGGGCTCGCTGCCTCTTCAGAGGGACCCTCTCTCTAGCGCCCCCCCCCCCCCCCACGCACTGCACAGCAGGATCCTCATAGCTTGCAGTTTGGGACCTCTCACTTAACTGCTCTTAGCCTCTGTAAAATGGAGCACCTTGCAGTGTGGCTACACAGAAGGAAAGTGCCTGGTAGTTGTTAAAATGGCTCTCAGCCTTGGCCGGGTAGCTCAGTTGGTTAGAGCATCATCCTGATATGCCAAGGTTTTGGGTTTGATTCCCAGTCAGTGCACATACAAGAATCAACCAATGAATGCATAAGTGGGAAAACAAATCGATGTTTCTCTCTTAAAAAAAAAAAAAAAAAAAAGAGCCCTGGCCAGTGTTGCTAAATGGTTAGAGTGTTGGCCTGTGCACTGAAGGGTCTTGGGTTTGATTCCCGGTTAAGGGCACGTATTTGGGTTGCAGGTTCGATCTCCGGCCCAAGTCGGGGCGCATGTGGGAGGCAACCAATTGACGTGTCTCTCTCACATCGATGTTTCTCCCCGTTTCCTCCTGCCATTCCACTCTCTAAAAATCAAGGGGGAAAATATCCTTGGGTGAGGATTAACAACAAAAAAGGCTCTCAAACTCTGAGAAGCAGGAGTTTAGGGACTGCCTCAGTGGGGAAAGAGACAAATTGCTCTTAGAAGTTAGAAATCAATTAGGGGCTTTTGAATGTGTTGGGTCCCTGATCTAGTATTTACAAGGCATCTACTTTGTGCCAGTGTTGAGGATGTCACAGAGAACCAGAACTGGCCTCTGCCCTGAGTTTGCAGTCTCTTAGAGTTGTCCAGGGGTTCTCCTGGAGTCCTGGGTACGAACCCTGGAAAAATAAGGCATCCTGTTGTCTTCAATCTCTCTCTTTTCTCCTCTTTTAAACTTCACTATGGCCCTGTGAAGTGAGGCAGTATTTCCCCAAATTACAGATGGGGAGACTGGGCCTTTGATAGATGAAGTGGCTAAGCTTGGGGTCCTACAGTTAGTAAATTTGCACTTGAACCCACTGAGTGCAGGGCTTCCTCGGAGGGGCCGGAGAAGCTGTGAGGAGGAGGTGTTTCTGATGGGAACAGCCTGGATGTGGTGTGTTCTGGGACTGAGGGCAGGAGTGGCAGGCTGGTTGGAGTGGCGGGTCTATGGATAGAAACAGCTGCGATGGGTGAGGGCCCCGGGCTGCTTCAGTACCTGCTGCAGAGAGAAGGATGAGCACCTTGGGCATCCTTGGTGAGGGTTGTTGTTCTCTCTCCTGTCCTTTGGATTATGGGAGAAATCCTGGGTGGCTCTCTCACCTCTGATTGTATAGTCGTTGAGTGGCAGGTGTGTGAGTGACTTCGGGACAGTGTGAAATGAGAGTTGTCAGTGGCTAATTTGAGGCTGGAGCCCGACAGGGGTGTCAAAGGAGGATGGGGGTACTGCCCTTGGACTGAGAGAGAGGGACAGGGACAGGACAGGATCTAGACTTGAAGAGTGTGCTCCCTGCCCTGAGCCTCTGGTTGGGATGCTGGTGTTGTTCCTGCGGGGGCGGGGGGGGGGGGGGGTTCTACTCTGGTAGTGGCTGGGCCGCTCTGGTCTTGGCACCTGAGGCTGGTACCCAAAGTGTTTCTTGGCAGGTGCTCTCCCTTATTCCTGAGGCAAGGCAGTCCCTGGGCATTTGGGGAGGGAGAGAAGCAAGAGATATTTGGTGTTAGTGGACCCAGGCCACCTTTGTTGCTCACTTGGGGGCTCTGAAGTTGATGGGGAGGTGTGGAGGACTTTTACAGTTACTGTAAGTTGTGTTTACTTCTGCAGAACTCTGAAAGAAATGCAAAAATGCTTTAATGCATTTGTAGTATTAGCTGGTAATTCCAATTAGTCATGCTTTATTGGAACCCCTGGTTGGCCAGCACTCCACCAATCAGAATCCCTGGTTAGGCAGCATTCCACCAATCAGAACTCCTGGTTGGGCAGCACCCCTGGTTAGTTGCATCTATTAAAGAAACTGTCATCTGGCCCTGGCCTGTGTGGCTGAGTTGGTTGAGCCTGGACCTGTGCACTGAGAGGTGGCTGGTTGATTCCCAGTCTGAGCACATACCTGGTTTGTGGGCTTGATCTCCAGCAGAGGGCGTGCAGGAGGCAGCCAATAGATGTTCCTCCCTCCCTCCCTCTCTCCCTCTCTCCCTCCTTCCCTCTAAAAGCAATAAATATATTTAAAAAAAAAAAAAAAAAAGGAACCAGACAGCCAGTGGTTGAGCATCGACCTGTACACCAGGAGGTAACAGTTTGATTCCTGGTCGGGGTACATGCCTGGGTTGTGGGCTCCATCCCATGTGGGGCCTGCAGGAGGCAGCCGATCGATGATTCTCTCTCATCATGGATGTTTCTATCTCGCTCTCCCTTTTTGGAAATCAATAAAAATATATTTCAAAAAAGAAAAAAAAGAAAAGAAAAACAAACGGTCAGCCGGTACTTCCAGGACCGTTGAGGTGAGTGAATGGGACAGTCCTGGTGGCAGCCCAGGTCCCCACCAGGAAGAAGTCTTTTCTGGGACTTAAGTCTGCACTGGCTTAACCAGCAGCCGGTTCCTGAGCCAGGAGGCTGGGCTGATGGATTTGGTGTTGAAGAGGACAGGATGGAACATCTGGAAGAGGCAGGCTGGCGGCTTTCAATGAGCAGGAGACAACATAGGCCCCTGCACAGTGCCCCGCCCCCTGCCCTCTGGGAACTTCCACTTGAGAAACGTCCCTGGGAAGCCAAACCACCGGGTGGTTTCTGCAGTCTTCTTTGGTCTCCTCAGTTTGTGGACGTCCTGAGGAGATGGGAGAGGCAGGGGGTTGGCTCCCCAGAGCTGAGATTTCATGGGCAGATGAGCTGGCTTGGGGGGCAGGAGTCAGAGGGTCTTGGGGTGCTGCCTCTTGCTGCCATACACAGGGCTCTGGTAAACAGTGGGCTATGTGTGAGCCATCAGTAGAGGGTGCCGTCAGCTGGTGGGGAAGGAGAGTGTGAGCTTGGTGCCTGCTGCTCCCTGGTCTGGCTGCCTGACCTTGGGCATGTCCCTTCCCCTCACAGGACCCTGGACTCCTCATTGCAATAGGATGATGCAGCCACCTCGCTGGGTTTCTGTGAGAGTCGGAGGGAAATATGTAAAAAAGTTCAGTGAATGCTAATAGGAGTGAACATGATGGCAGGGCATACCTGTGCTTGGTCCTTTCTACAGGAGTAACTGTCACCTGCCTGTTGGGATGTGCTGCTCTGGGACAGTGCAGAGCCCAGTCTACCCTGTGGCGAGACCTCTGAGGGCTCAGAGCAGGGTCCTGGGATCCAGGTTCAAGGCCCAGCCCCAACACTTGCTGTGCTAGATCTTTTCCAATCCTTTGTGTCGTCGTCCCGCACAGGAATTATGGGCCACACAACTCAGAGGAAGATTATGACAATTCAATGAGAAAATTCCAACAAAATGAGTCCTTAGCACGTTATAGTGAAAACTTTAAAAAGACTTAAGAAAACACCCACACCTTACTACTCTGTTGCTAGGTCCTCCAGGCTCCTGTTTGACTCCTTATTACTTTGATCTGTTCTAGCCTTTGGGCATCACCAGGGGGGGCCCAGGGACTGGGTGAGTGGGGTTCTCTCCTTCTGTCACTCCTGAGGGGGAGGATGATGTTGCCAGACTGAGTCACCCGGTGGTTTGGCTTCCTATGCACGTTTCTCTCCATCTTTTCTTGCCCCAAAGATTCCCGACTTTAATCCACCCGTCATAGAGCCTCTGGAAGGCACTGCCAGGCCCAGGAGCCTGGACTCCGTTCTAACCCACCTTCCCCCGAAGGTCAGGCACACCTCTGCACATCAGGTCTCTGACCTGCATCCACTCCGGCCACACGAGTCACCTCCACTGCAGGGCAGGGAAACTGGGAGAAGTGAGGTGCCCCCAGGTACCTGGCTGTCTGACTTTAAAACGGTGTTCCTCCCCTCTGTGAGCCCTAAGCCCCACCTATAAAGTGGGGGACATGGACCCCCTTTCCAGACTGACATTCTGAGGCCTTGCACTCTGTGGGATGGGGCCCCGGGAGGCCCTGGGGGAACTGGTGGAGGAGAGGTCTTGTCTCGACCCTGAGCAGCAGCTGACGTAGAGCCCGCTCCTGGCTCATCCCCAGCTGACCACCCTCTGTCGGGAAAGGCTGAGGCATAGGAAGGGGCAAGGACAAATCCAGGCTCCTGCAGGGAGCTGAGGTGGGACAGATGGGGTGGGCTGTGGGGCCAGGAAGGGCCTCAGCTGTCTCCAGCTGTTGATGATGTGTTTCCCTCTTGGTTTTCATGTAGATTCCTTTCTGCCTGGGGCTGGGCGTGGGGGCCTGGCATAGTAAGGGAGCTGAACCGGGCACCTCTTTGAGCCCAGGCTCCCCATCTATGGAAACGGCTGAACAGAGTCCTTTCCCCATTACCTCAGACCCAAGGGTGTGAGCCCAGGCCTGGACCAGTCACCCCGGTGGGGGGCGCGGTGGGCACATCAGGAAGAAACCAGGGCTGTGGCTTTGGGTGGGGCCAGTGGCCTCTTCTGGGAGCCTAGCATCTGGAAGCCATCAAGCCAGGGGCGGGGGGTGTTGCAGCAGAAGGCCGGGAAAGAGGAGGCCACACATAGGCCCACCCCTTGGGAGCAGTGGCTTTGGGCCCGCAGTCCCTGTTGTCATCTCTGCCTATCATCGCCTCTCAGCCCACCGCCTCACTCCCTTCCACTGGCTGCCTTCTCTCTCAACCCACAGGCTGCTACTCCTACAAGATGCAATCGCATAATAGGCAATAACATTGCTCATTGCATGCTGGGCGCCTTGTTTCTCTGGCCCAGGGTGGTCTGCCTCTTGGAGTACGTGTGCATGGAGAACTGTCCCTAGGGGTGGTTGGCTTGGCATCCCTTCCCTGGAGTGAGTGCTACCTGTCTTGTCTTTGAAGTCTTAGTGCAGGGTAGCTGGGGGCTTGCATAGGAGCTTGTGGCTGGAGATGTGGCTGTGGGGACTCAAAGGGAGTAATGATGTCTTCTTCAGCCTCAAGCCTGTGACTCTGAAGGAGCTGGTCCAGGTGCATAGCAAGAAGCTCAGAGGAGTCCCAGGAGCAGGTGTCTCCAATTGTCACCTGGGTCCACCTGCCTCAGAATCACAGGGATTCTAGCTAGCCGTGTAGGTTTTGGGCCCCACTCAGACCTGTTGGCCAGGCACTGGGGCTGGGGCCTGGGGTATGCACAGTGACTTTGATACCCAGGTATCACAGAGCACGCTATTCCATCACCATCCTGATCTGCTGGGGTGTAGGTATCAGGTCTGGCGTCCTTTGCAGGGGGAGAAATAGAAATGCAAGTTATACCCAGGGTCCTCTGGAGATGAACTGTTGAAGACAGGGGCCCTTTGGGGACAGAGCATGGAGGACACCTAGCCTGAGCGTGTCCCTGCCTTCCCTGGCAGTCTTGCCAACATTCCACTGACCCCTGAGACTCAGCGGGACCAGGAGCGGCGGATTCGGAGGGAGATTGCCAACAGCAACGAGCGGAGGCGCATGCAGAGCATCAATGCAGGCTTCCAGTCCCTCAAGACCCTCATCCCCCACACAGATGGAGAGAAGCTCAGCAAGGTGGGCGAGGGCTGGGAGGGCTTCCTGGAGGAGGTGGTGGGCTCAAGCAGGGAGAAGGAAGTGAGCTTCAGTAGACGCAGCCAGCTGGGGCCCCTGACTTGTCCCTCCTACCCTTAGGCAGCCATTCTCCAGCAGACGGCGGAGTACATCTTCTCCTTGGAGCAGGAGAAGACCAGGCTTCTGCAGCAGAACACACAGCTCAAGCGCTTCATCCAGGTAGCACCTGCAGAGGCCTCCTGTCACCTCAACACCTGTCCTCCTCCTGGCTCCCTCTCCCTGGCATGGGCATGTCTGGGCTCACCACTGGCCTGGGACTCTGAGGCTACAGGTCCCACCTTCCCCACTGACACGCCTACTTCAGGTACTTGCCTTCCTGCCTGGGCTTCAGTTTACCCATCCACGAAGTGCAGTGGAGTGGCTCCGAGAGGAACCGGGTGACTTTTGGCAAGCAGGTCCATTCTGCCTCTGTTTCCCGCCTGTGGCCATGGTTGGATTTGCAGAGTGGGGCTCCCAGTGCCCAGAGCACCTGGGTTGACAGCTTTGGGGGTCTGTGATGGAGCCCTCCAACTTCCCCATTGATGGTGGTGATACGAGGGTGTCAAGGCACACTCACCAACTCCTTGGGGTCCCCAGGAGCTGAGCGGCTCGTCCCCCAAGCGGCGGCGGGCAGAGGACAAGGACGAGGGCATCGGCTCACCGGACATCTGGGAGGATGAGAAGGCGGAAGATCTACGGCGGGAGATGATTGAGCTGCGGCAGCAGCTGGACAAGGAGCGCTCGGTGCGCATGATGCTGGAGGAGCAGGTAAGGCAGGCAGGCGGGTGGGGTGGGGGGTTCCCGTCCTTCTCTCCCTTTCCCCCTGTCCCTGCTTCCCTGGAGCGCCTGCTTTGTGCCAGGTTTAGGAATAGGGGGTGGGGGTCCACTGGGGATTGAACCAGGTAGGTACCTGCCCTCAGGGCTCACCATCTGTGTTGGGTAGGAGGATTAGTCAAAGGACCTTACACTGTAAAAATGCAGCTGTGGAAAAGGTCCTGCAGGAAGCATGGGCATTGGGAGGGGGATTTGGACTGGTTCTGCCCCACAGCTTCTCTGTCAAAGTGACTTGAGCCGGGGGTGGGAGGTTGGCCAGGGGTGGGTCCAGTCTCACAATTAACCAGGCAGAGAGGGGAGAAGGGTACTCCAGGCAGAAGGAAGAGCATGAGCAAAGCCCTGAGGCTGCAGGGAGGGAGTGAAGGAGTGAGGGAGATGGCCTGAGGGAGGTCATGGCAGGAGAGGAGATGAGTCAGAGAGGGCCTGGTGGGCTATGGTAGGACTTTGGTCTCTTCCCCAGGATGACAGGCTCCAGCTGGGGTTTGTAGCAGGAGAGAATGGCCTGTTTGGCAAGGGTAGAGCATGGGGAGGCTGGCCTCAGCAGCCCCGAGGGCCCCGCACTGGAGGTGGTGCAAGGGTGTGGTCCGGGCCCTGCCCCTGAGCCTGCTCTCCCCTCAGGTTCGCTCGTTGGAGGCCCACATGTACCCTGAGAAGCTCAAGGTGATTGCACAGCAGGTGCAGCTGCAGCAGCAGCAAGAGCAGGTGCGACTGCTGCACCAGGAGAAGCTGGAGCGGGAGCAGCACCTGCGGACCCAGGTGGGCAGGTGGCCTCGGGCGGGGCTGTGGGCTATGGCAGGGCAGGGCCTACATCAGTGATGGCGAACCTTTTGAGCTCGGCGTGTCAGCATTTTGAAAAACACTAACTTAACTCTGGTGCCATGTCACATATAGAAATTTTTTGATATTTGCAACCATAGTAAAACAAAG